GTTCTGCACAACAAAGGTAGGATATAGAGGGTGCAGAACATAGGTGAGGGCAGGGCATCAGTTCTGGGAACCAGAAAAATTTGTACTTTCATATTAATTTTGCCACTTACTTGCTGTCTTACATTGTGCAAGACACCTGCCCTCCCTTGACCACTGAAAAGGGAATGGTCTCAGCAGATGACCTATTTAAGTCCTTCTAAATCTAAAACTCTAAAATAAGGAAGAGTGTAGGTGTTGCTGCTTAGAGAAAAGAGGAGGAGAAAGTGCAGCCAGACACATTCCCCTGGCTGTTGGGAAGAATCTGTCCAAAGGTAAACTGGGCTCTTTGTAAATGGAAGTGAGTTCTCTGTCCATGAAGTAATCAAGAAGATGCTGGGTAATTCCTCCTCCAACCCTGAAAAGACCTGAGTGAGGGTGCTTGCAAGCCCAACCACATCTACTCTTTGCCTAGCAATATTATATGAATTTATCTTTTTGCCCCTTCACTGGATCATTTATTTATTAGTGTATTCAATAATTCAGTAAATAGCAATATCTTAGTCATTCAAAACAATATTTGTTTTATTTCATTTTATTGCGATGAGAACACTTTAAAAGAAATCTACCCTCAAGTTTTTATGTGTACAATACAATATTATTGACTATAGGTACAATGTTGTACAGCAGATCTTTAAAATTTAATCATCTTGCTTAACTGAAACTTTTTGTTGATTTATACGTTGATTAGCAACTCCTTTTTTTCCTCTCACCACAGCCCCTGGCAGCTACCATTCTACTGTTTGATTCAGTGGGTTTGACTATTTTAGATACCTCATGTAAGTGGAATCATGCAGTATTTGTCCTTTTGTGACTGCCTTGTTGCACTTAGCAGGATAACCTCAGGATTTATCTATGTTGTCATATATGGCAGGATTTCCTTCTTTTTAAAGGCTTAATAATATTCCATTGCATGCATACACCAAATTTAGTTCATCCATTTATCTGTTGATGACATTTAGGTTGTTTCCACATCTTGGCTATTGTGACTAATGCTGCAATGAACATGGAAGTGGGCAGTGCAGAAAGATCAGTTTCAGCTAGAGGAGACCCCCTCCTTATCTTTCTAGAAGAACCTGAAGCGTAGAGGCTGCCAATATGTTTCTAGAGCCTCCGTGATGTATTCCACAAACCAGTGAGTGATGTATAGGGAAGGAGCAGATCTTGTTCATAGCAGCATGACAGACAGGCTAAAAATGTTACTCTTATCACCCCCTGACATCTCTGGGGCTGGGGGCGGCAAGGTAGAGCCCTTGGCATCATGTGAAGGATTTGTGTGTCAGAGAATGGGAGGGAGAACAGAACGGCTCTGCCTGGGATTTGAGAGAGGTGCAGATTAGGAAGGGAGAAGGAGTGGGAGAGCTTGGAAAGGTCACTGAAGAAACTGGGCGAAGGTGATGGTGAGTGAGGAGGAACTTGGGGTGATGGTGTGAGAGCCTGAGTCCACGTGGGGTGTGCGATGTAACTCTCCTCGTTCGCCCACAAAATGTTCAGTAAAGTCTACACTGCTCAGTAATATTTTATGGAATTGGATTTGCTTTTTTAGAAGGTGCAAAAAAGTGGGTGGATGAAAGCAGGGCATCCCCACAGAATCAGGTACCTGGGGATCACGCTTAGGTGTGTGACCATCCTTTTGGCCAAAGGCAAGGCTCTTTTCCTCTCAGAGAGAGCCTGGTGTGCCATAGGTCTTCCATAAATGGCTGCTGAATGAGCAAATTCATGCAAGGTCTGTAAAAGCTGGGGGCTTGTGAGTGTTTGCAGCCTCCCCGCACCTCCCCAGGAACACAGATGGTTTTAAGATCAGCTGGGGCTTTGGGCAAAGGTTCAGCTGGATTTGTTTGTTCCTCTCTGATCTACTTTGACTGTCCCTGGTCAGGATCGCAGCCAGCCTGAAACAAACACAAAACTAAATAGGAACCCAGGAGAATAAAATAACAGCAGCACGTTCCTCTGAAGTCCTGTCTGGTGCTGATGGAGCTGACAAGATAAGAGGAAACCAGGTTTAAGTAGCGAGAGGGCTTTGTTCAAGTCCGAGGCTTCTCTGACTGTGACTGCTGCAGATGCAGAGATAAGCCCCCTGCCCTAGCACTGCAGAGATGTGCTCCACCACTCTCTGCTGGGCGACAGGCAGCTAAGAACACAAGGGGAAGGAATTCCAAAATGATACATGTCAAATTGCTGGCCTGGATTTCAAATGCCATAGATAGTTTATGCGAAGTCTCGCACTGTTGTAAAAATGTAACACAATCCACTGGCAGAGCCGCATGAGCTCAGTCTCAGTTGTTTTCGAGAAAAAATAAATAAACTTGAAAAACGTCTTCCAGCCCATTAAAGTGGCTTGTTTTACCCATAGTCTTCTCGGTATCAGGCTTCTAGAGATGTGAGTAACCGAAGCCGACACCTAATTCCTGGCCAGTGAGATGGCTGATCCTTGGCACTTCTCCTCTCCTTAGGACGTTACCTGTGACGTTCAGGAAACTAATACTGGATTCCCAGGACCCACTGACACCTCGGGGAGGGGGGAGCGAAACTTTGGCGATGAACAAGTTTCAGTACTTTTCAATGTTTTTAAAGCAGTGAAGCTCCCATGAAACATTACAAGGCAGCTTGATATAGAAAACAGTTGAGTGAAGATGCTCTGGTTGAAACAGTGGAGCAGAAGCTACGTACATCTTCTCACATCTGACCCTCAGACTAGGAATCCATAGGCAACCCCTTGAAAACCTATGACCCGATCCAACGTTCAGATGTGAAAGGTAAACCGAGGTCCACAGAGCGGAGATAACTCGTCCACAGTCACACATCAGATTGTGAGGGAGTTTGAACCAGAGCCAAGTCTCTAATCCAGCTCACCATTGCAGAACTTCCCAGGTGACAAAAAACATTTCTTCTTCTATTTGAGGTTTCAAGAATAAACTGAAGATGTTAACTTTAAGGGAAATGGGGTAAAGCATATATGGAACTCTTGGTATTACCTTTGCGAGTTTCCTGTAAATATAAAATTACTCCAAAACAGAAAGTTTATTTTAAAAAGAAGCATTGCATCTTGCAGTTGTGGATTACAGTGCAGCCATGTGTTTCAGCTTGACTTTGATAAGTGAACCTGATGTGTAACTTTCCCATGCTATTTTTAATTCTCCTACACTCATGTATATGAATCCCCGGGTATAGTCTTGCTTTGCGTGATTTTTATAAATAGCGTCATAATGCACTTACACCTTGTTCTTTTTTAGTCACTCAGTGTTATGCCTTTTCAATCTCCCCATGTTGAGATCTGTGAACTCACAAATAGGGCTTCCATTTGGCTTGGCCAGGGTCCCTACTGAACCAGGTGTTAAATATTGTTAGGATCATCGCTACATTTGAATCCCATTCAGTCCTCTTAATGTTCTTTTGCTTACAGAATCCTATCATGTGAATATATCATATTTTATTTATCCCTTCTTCAACAGGTGAACATATAAGCTCTCCCTAATCTTTTGCTACTATAGACATGGCTGCAATGGATATGGAATGCATAGTCTTGACCTTTGTATATATATATATTTTTCCCTTTCTTCTTTTTGCGGTACGCGGGCCTCTCACTGTTGTGGCCTCTCCCGTTGCGGAGCACAGGCTCCGGACACGCAGTCTCAGCGGCCATGGCTCACGGGTCCAGCCGCTCCGTGGCATGTGGGATCCTCCCGGACCGGGGCACGAACCCGCGTCCCCTGCATCGGCAGCCGGACTCTCAACCACTGCACCACCAGGGAAGCCCTTCCCTTTCTTTTTGTTTGTTTTACATGTGTACGTTTGTTTTACATGATTGAGATTAGATTATCTCACTTTTTTTCATAGCTTATAAGACCTTAGAGTTCTTTAGGTTGGCCTTACTTTTTAGGTCCGTAGTCTGAGACCCGCAGGTGTGGAATGGAATGACAGGCCCAAATTCCTGGGGAAGATTGGACAGAGGAGCCTCATTAGAGGTCCGAGGAAAAGCTCTAATGTGGGATGACCTTCTGCAAAAAGTCTGACCAATCTCAAGAACATCTCGGCTATTCCTCTCCTTTTCCATCCTAGCTCTTTTCTAGTCTACAATTTATAGTAATGTATGCATACGTGATTACTTGATGAATGTCGGTACACACTGTCACTCTAAGCTCCGTAGCATCTGACCCGTCTGCCGTCTTGTCCCATAGTGCTCGGCAAATAGCAGTTACTCAATAAATGTTATTGGAATGAATGAATGAACCAATGGAATGAAATGACATTTGGATACACAGGATACTCCTCAGTTTGAACAATACTACTTGTCTATACATGCTTCATGTTTCTTTTAATACCATCTGCTATATCTGTCATTGAGAATGAACGTGTGTGTGTGTGTGTGTGTGTGTGTGTGTGCAAATCTATACAAATGGTAGAGCTGATTTTCTTTGGGGAAAGCAAATGCTCGCATTGTCATAGTCTTTGTTCTGTCATTAATGTAGCTCTGAGCACAATTTACGGATTTGCTCTAAAGTGGTCTGCTTGGTATTCAAGAGCCTGTGAGATCCAAGCCCCCCAGGCCTGCCTTTGATGCCACTTTCCCCAAGCTCTGTTATACCAGGCAGCTTGTCACTTGGGCTTCTGCTTTCCTCTGAGCCCTTGCTTCTATTCCCTGCATGTGCAATGCCATTCCTTTCGTAGCTACCCTATTCTTCCAGACCCAACTCAAATGTCAACTCTTCCAGGACTCGTCCCCACAAGAATGTCTCTGACGTCTCTACCACCAAAACGTGTTATCTGTCCTTTCCTTAATAACATTGAAGATTTTCTCTTCTACGTTAGAATGTGGGCTCCTGGAATAGACTCTTGTCGGTTCATCCCTATTTCTTCCTGCAGTGTCAAGAACAAAATAGGTGGATAGTAAAGTTTTGTCGCATTGAATTTAACTCAACCTCTGAGACCCTCTAAAACATTTGTTTCCCTTTATCTTTTTCCAGGTGTGTCGAACCAAGGTGATAGATCTCAGTGAAGGCATTTCCCAGCATGCCTGGTACCCTTGCACCATCAGCTACCCGTACTCCCAGCTGGCTCAGACCACTTTCTGGCTCCGGGTAAGTCAAAGCTTTGAGAGCCTTAGATTCTCCAGCAGTGGCCCCCAGGAGGCACTGCCTCCTGTGACCCTTTCTCAAGGTGGTTTTGTCTACCCACTGAGGGTGTTAATTGTAAGGACAGAGAAGAAAACACTCAGCAGCGGGATGCTTCCTGGAATGGAATCCCTTAGTTGCTCATGGGATGCCTTCAGTCAGTCTTATTTTGGCCAAGAGTTTAGATACCATTTATCTGCCTGGAAGACCGTCATTGTTCAAGGCCTTTTAAACTGCCTTCTCCTTGAAGTTTTCGCTGACCCCCACAGGGAGAAGGGACTGTCCCTTCCCTTCTGGTCCTCCACGCGTGGCCGTCTGTTGGATGGCTCTCGTCAAGTGCCGTGGTATTCCGAAGCTGTCTGTGGGCCCATCTTCCTGACTGTGGATTGTGATTGTTTCAAGTTTTGATCTGTGTGTTACTGACCTACATTGAACTCCACCGTCCACAGAAATGCAAGAGCATATCTCTTATTTACCTTTGTCTCCTCGGCGCGTAGTACAGAGGTTAGTTAGCGTGGAGAAGTGATGAATAATAATAAGTACCATTTTGCGTGGTTTTAATGTATGCCAGACCCCTTATTATCAGTATCTTACTGGAGCCTCCCAGCCATCCTGTGATGTAGCTATTTACGTATCCATCACTTGGAGGTGAGGGAACTTGGGCCCAGAGCAGCACAGCCCCCGGTGGACATCACACAGCTTGGAAAGAGCAGAACCTACGTTAGAACAATCTCTGACCTCGGAGCCTGTGCTCTTCACGCTGAGGTTTCACTGCCCACCTGTTCCCACCACGGGACCGTGATAAGTAGTCCAGCTCCTGAAATGGAAGTCTCCTTCAAAGCCCCGCCCCATGGCTGCCTCCGCGCCGCACGCCTGGCTGCCTGAGTGAGTCTCCTGTGTCCTCTGCATTTCAGGCGTACTTTTCTCAGCCAATGGTGGCCGCGGCTGTCATTGTCCACCTGGTGACCGATGGGACCTATTATGGGGATCAAAAGCAGGAAACCATCAGCGTCCAGCTGCTTGACACCAAAGACCAGAGCCACGATCTAGGTGAGCGTTGCCCTCGGGCGCGGCGTGCTCTCGGGACCTGCTTCTGCACGCGCCTGCGCGTGGTTGTAAGCACCGGCTGGGGGTGAGCGCTTTCCTCCCCTTTCCTCTCTCTTGCTTCTCTATTTGCCATTCTGGTCGCCTTCAAATCAGGATGTGTTTGTGTATCCAGAGAAGCCCGAATCTGACAGGTGTGGGCATAAGGGGTTCACGTCAAAGTCCTCCTTTCAATAGCTCCCTTCTACCCAACGCCTTTACCCTCAGGCATCCCATGAGATCCTCAAAAGACCCTGGGAAGGAGACTGAGCAAAGGTTCTTTCCCATTACGTGTGTCATCACCCGAGACCCAAAAAGTGGCATCGAGAGGCCCGGGTCACGTGGGAGGAGCCAGCAGGAGAGCCGGGGAGCCAGGCTTTCAGAATCATCGCCTGCTGTGCTTCACCCTATAGCCGTGGTGTCCGTGATAGTAAACGAGCCATTACTTGAGATGTTGTGACCCGTGCAGAGCACAACACCCAGCGCTCAGGAAGTCCCATCGCCCCCTCCCACACTTCCCAGACACCCTGCCCCATCTACCTCTGAGCAGCCAGGCCAGGAGTTTGGAATTCCAAGCCAGTGCTGAGGTCCAGGCTTCAAAGCTGCCCGCACCATTCCACAGGGAGCTCACTTCAAAGACCCGCAGGAACCAAGCATGCGCGGGGTCACTTCGGGGTCAAGCAGGAGCCAAGGCAGGAGGAGGGGGTTTGTTTTGTTGTTATGTTTACTTATTTGGTTAGTTTTCAAGGCAAGGGGGACACGTTCATAAGGAAGAAGAAGAAAACCCTGCTGGATTTCTCTGGATTCCTGGGAAATGTCCCTAAGTGAGAAACAAACATTTTCATAGCGGTCCTGGCATCACAAAGGGCTCTGCGGAGAGACTTTCAGAGGAGTGGGGAAGAGTCAGGTTCCAGCGAAGGTCCTTAGACCCTGCTAGCTGATGCCTGGGGTGTCCGCATGTCCCTCCCCACTGGGTCTCCTGTCCCGTGTCCTCAGCTTCCTGGCACCCCTTGCAGAGGCTCTGCAGCTCTAAGACAGTAGACCACAGAAGGGGACCTGCAGGCCTCCCGGGACATGGCTAGGATCATCCCATTCTTTCGATGCAGGCGCTGAGTGAGTGTTAGGGCTTTGGTGGATTCACATAGTAAAGAAATGGCTAAGCCACAAATGGAGCTGATGTCCGTCAAACACCAGAGCCAGCTTCAGTTTTACCGAACTCCAACCCACCCCATCATTCCCTTCCCTCCCCTTCTGATGTACCTTTTCTCCCGTCCCTCTCCCTCCTCCCTTCCTTTTTTCTTTTTTTTTTTTTTTGCGGTACGTGGGCCTCTCACTGTTGTGGCCTCTCCCGTTGCGGAGCACAGGCTCCGGACGCGCAGGCCCAGTGGCCATGGCTCACGGGCCCAGCTGCTCCGCGGCATGTGGGATCTTCCCGGACCGGGGCACGAACCCGGATCCCCTGCATCGGCAGGCGGACTCTCAACCACTGCACCACCAGGGAAGCCCCCCACTTCCTTTTTGAAGCCCGGGACTTCTAGAAAGAACTGAGAGCTTCTGAGTGAAGCAAGTTTGGACTTTCCTTGGACTTTATATGGCTTGCTTTTCTGTTTCCCTCTGGAAAGCCACCTCCTGGTCATGATTCTCTGTCTCCTCTTTGCAGAGTGGGTACAGAGGTCCTTACCTCACAAGAGCTGCTCCCAGATTCCTAGATTAAAAATGAGAGTAGGCTTTTTACGCTGGGAATGACTTATTTCTGTGAATTATTTCCATCATTTATATGACAGACCGGGAAGGCAGCCTGAAAACTAGCAACTCAGACCAGCAAGCCCTCATGCAATGTGGGAGGGAAGTGAGGGCCAGTGGTGCTTGGCCAAGGGGTGGCCATTTGGGGGAGGGGGAGGGGCTCTGAGCCCTAGGTGAAGCGAAAGCTTAGGGGGCAGTGAGGCAAGGGGATTGGAAAGATTTGGAACCAAGAGAAAAAGGCAGACAAAGAAACTTTCAATCAAACTCAAAATCCCCACTGGCCACCCAATGGTGCTTTTGTGCAGTGACATGAAAGGGTCTGGGGGCTTCGGGAAGGGCCCGTTGGGGAGGGCGTGACTGGCCGTGAGTAATGAGCCTGGCCCCTCGGCCCTCTGTTTCCCCTGACAGGCCTGCATGTTCTGAGCTGCAGGAACAATCCCCTGATTATCCCTGTGGTCCACGACCTCAGCCAGCCCTTCTACCACAGCCAGGCGGTACGTGTGAGCTTCAGTTCACCCTTGGTCGCCATCTCGGGGGTGGCCCTCCGTTCCTTCGACAACTTTGACCCCGTCACCCTGAGCAGCTGCCAGAGAGGGGAGACCTACAGCTCTGCCGAGCAGAGGTAAGGCACCCTGGGTCGGCTCGCCCTGGCCGTGTTGTAGCCAAGTGGAGAAGAAGGGGTTCTGGAGCCGGGCAGCCATATGTGTTGCAGTAAAAAGTCTGTGTGTTTCTCCCTGCCCTAGCCTCTGGCCTCTGGTCAACTCTGCCTTTGGGCTCGGGAGGCCCACACGTCTCTGAATTCCAGGGGTGCGGGAGGGCAGCAGGAACATACTGTGGAAGGAAGACCTCCTTCACCTGGCTCGCAGTCCCAGAGCTGGCGGCGGCCTGCAGGATGACCCTGGGAACATCACTTTCCCTCTCTGGGCCTCAGCATCCCCATTGGAATGAAGAGAGCAGAGGTGGTTTAGCTCTCTCTCAGCTCTGAAATACTGGAATGTCCTGTTTCCTAAGTAGCACAGGCAAGAGTCATAACCCTCCTGAATTTAGGGGGATGCTGGGGGGCTACTATTTGCTTCATCCCACTGCACTGTATATTGCAGGGTTGGGTAAACCTCTGTGTCTTCCCCACACCTAGCTCCTGAGACATTCTCCCGGTGGTCTCGGTGTCTGTCTTTTAACCGCATGACGTTGCTGCATCAGTACCTTTGATCTGGCATCTGTTAATGCACCTGGTTTGGAGCTAAGAGAGGATGCTGTTTCCTAGAAAGAGTATGAGCTTTAATGATACTCTTGCCTAGGTTTGAATCCGCCCCTTCCTGACTGTGTCCTTGGACAAGGCACTTCGCTTCTCTGAGTCTCAGTTGTCTGTTTTGGAATAAAAACGGGTAATAATATCTACCCCATAGGGTGGTCGTGAGGATTAAATGGTGCACCGCAGGCAAAAGTGCTCTTACAAACTATTAAGCACCGTGCAAAGATAATGTACTGATAGAGGATATTTATCACCACTTTCTGATGTGATGGTGGTGCTTTTCTGCACAGAATTCTGCATAAAGTTCTTAGATTTGAGCTGGGAGAAGCCTCGGAGCTCATCTGGTACATCCACAGTGTCCAAACTTCCATGTTACCCTCTGGGTTTTCACAAGCAGAAGGACTGGTTCAGGGTCCCACATCATCTCTGACATTTGTTTTAAAGAGTTGGGGTCTCTGTGGTCTGCCCCCGAGCGAGGCCCTCTGAAAGGCAATTCAGCCCTGACCTGTATACCTGGGAGAAGGAGAGGAAAGAGGAGTGGGGAGGGGGACCCCAGCCTTTCCCACGCCCCTGCTACCACAGAGGACACAAAAGGTGTCCCACATTGTTTTGCACCCACTGTCTCTAGCTTCTGTTGTGCAAAGTCTGTGGCAATCCTTCGGAGGCAAAAGAGCTCCTTAAATACCACTCGTTGTATTTCACCCTGAGAGGGCTTTTTCATCCCTGGCTCGCCAGGCTGTAAACGTAAGTTAATTCTCAGAACCCAGGGAAACAGTGTCGACGGAAAATGCAAATCCATCAGACCTTCTCTGCAATGCTTTCTCACCCTTAGCCAGTCACCAAGACCATCCCCGAGTTCACTGAGCCCAGCACTGGCTTCTTTGAATCCTTAATTAGCAGTTCCCGTGCCCGAAGTAAGCAGTAAGAAGCGTCTAACCTTGGAAGCAAGTCCGTCGATGAGTATGTGCTGAGTTCTTTGCTCTGCTGTGGAAAAGCACTGAACTGGGGCACAACGTTCCAGGCCCTCCTCCTCTCTGGGCTTCAGTCTCCCCGCGTGTGAAATAACGATGGCGATGGGTCCGTGTTCTCTGTGGTTCCTTTCAGTTCGAACAGTGATTCTCAAGAACTAGGAGGGATGAGAGGGAAGAGGAAGGGACCCACACTGGCTTCACGGTCACCCCTGTCCCGTGAGGTATGGACAGAGGGAGCGAGTCACGGCCATCCGGGCAATGGGAGGTACAGTCCCACTTTGTCTGCCCCGAAGAGCCACACTCCGCCCACCAGGACCAGGCACATCCAGGAGAGAAAAGAATTTTTCATGGCTGCTCACGGATGAGCGTTTAGTCAGTGAGATGGAGTTAAGCGATGGAGATGCAGCCATCTTGGGATTATCAAAGTCTATGTGTTCTCATTCCAAGGGGCTCTGAAATTATATATTACATATATTGTTTTGTGCTGACGCTAACCTGATCCCTGAAAGCTGCGAGGCTGGAAGAGATTCTTTGGTTCTGCGTCCCCATTTGAGGATGGGAAACCGAAGGTCCAGGTGGGGGAGGTGTTTCCCAGCGTCGCCCAGTGGGTTAGGATGCAGAACCCAGTGGCACTGGAATCCAGTTCGCAGGACTTGCAGGTCAAAGCTCTTCCCTTCTCATCAGAGGTGTCAAAAGAGCTGTGTCCCGGAGGCCAGACTAGGCCACAAACAACTTGTGTTTGTTTGGCCCTCGTTCGGCCTCTTCTTTAATTACTTGTAGCATTTAACCAGCAGAAGAGTAAGTATTAAAGCCCACAGTTCTTCCTCCTCTTAAGCACATCAGAGGATTTGGAAACACCAGGCCCTGGGTCCTGCTCTGGCCGGCAGGTGGCCTCCCACTGGCCACACCCCTCTCAGCTCACCTGGCCATTCAGATGGTCAGCCGGACCCGCAGCTGCCGACCTCGCCTCCCAGGGCTGCCCCCACCACATCACCAGCTCGCGGTAGAAGAGCCTTTTAGGGTCCCTTCCCGCAGGAGCCTCGTTACTGGGCAGGAAAACGAGTCTCATCTTGATCATTCTCTCAGCCTCGCTTCTCTAGCGGTCCCAAAGCTGGTGTGCCACGAGCAGCTTTCCCTTCGTTTTCCGGTGTTGAGCGTGCTGTCCTTCTGGCTGTCCCCATCTGAGCAGCTCAGAATGATTTCTAAACAATCTGCCTGTTACTACCTCCACAGCCCATGGCATGACTGCAGCTAAACAGCCACAGAAGTTAAGCTGTGGGTCAGGGGACAGAGCCAGGAGAGGAGCCCTCACCAGCCCTTTAACCTCTGGCCTTCTCTGTCCCCCACTATGCACGACCGGGGGCCCTTTCAGTGGACCGCAGGGGCAGCAGTTGGAGGACTGACTGTGGGATCACTTAAGGACCTACCTCTACATGGAACTTGAGTCTCTAAGTAAATGAATTAAATAGGTATACGAAGAAAAGAAAATTCATAAGTATCTGATTATCTCTGCATGGGGAGAGGGGGTGTTTCCACCTTCACCCAGGTTGTGAGCATTTTTTTGGTAAGATTTACCTGTGTCCCTTCCCCCACTGGCCTCAGCCACTTTCCTCCCTTCTGAGGAAGGTCGTCTTTTTTCCCCTTCTTTTGTTATTTTTATTGACAGCCCGTCACTGGTATGAAATCCTCCCCCCACTTTTTTTTTTAATGAAGGCAGAGCCTTTTGTTTTGTTTTGTTTTCCTTGTTTTGATTTTTGTTTTTGTGTTTCAGAAATGACAGAGCTGTGTCAGGGAGTTATTTGGGAGGGGCAGTTGGGGTAATATTTATCATTTTTGGACAATGTGTTCACATAACCCTTTCCAACTAACGAACGGGACGGCAAAGGGAAGAGCAGGGACTTAGGGAGAGACAGGCAGATCCGTGCTGCAATCCTGTCCATGCCGAGTGCCTTTGGACAAGCAATTTAAACTCGCTTAGTCTTAATCTCTTCTTCTCAAAAACGGGAACAATAATACTACCTCATGGAGTTATGGTGAGGACGCGGAGAAGATAATGAAGGTAAAACACAGCTGCCGATACCTGTTACTATTCCTTCCTTTTCCCCTTTCCTTCTTGTTCCCGTAGGCCAGGTTTAGACAAATGTGCTGAGAAAGCAGGGACTCCACATTCCCTAAGGTGTGTCTGGAGGACACTCGTCCTAAGAAACATGCCACGAAGAAAGGTTATCAGAGCTTGGAAAATGCTGTGCACACGAGTCCCTCCTGAAAACCCACCATGTGCAGTAGAACGTTCAAGGTTCTGAGAAGTCCTGCAATGAAGAAAACTGGTCTCATTGACCCAAAGCATTGACCTCCCCATTAGAGCATAGACCTGTTTGGTCAGGTAACTCATGTGACCAGTGAATGTTTTCCTTCATAGCAGAAAGAGCCAGAGGAGAGAGACCGCCTTCTCACGGAGCGTCATAGTTGCTAAAGCATTTCTCATGCCTTGACCTTTCAGCTCTGCAAACACGCTGAGCTCCAACCTGTGCTGGACCTTTGCACGTGCCCTTCACGCTGCCTGGAATTCCTTCTGCCCCAAACCTTTGTATAGCTAATCCCTTCGTCTCATCCAGGTCTTAGTTCAGGTGTCCCCGAGGAGGCTTCCCCTGACCTCTGTGTGCGTGGTGTCCTGCCCACCCCTCCCCTAACAGTCACCCTCTATAATGTCACCTGGGTTTAGTGCCCTTACGGTATGCATCACTATCTAAAACAAGCTTATCGATTACTTTTTTGGGGCACATGTCCTCCCTCCTCAAATACACACGGTGACAGGACTCTTCCACGGTAGCCCGAGCGTCTAGAACAGTATCTGCTGCGCAGCGAGAGCCCCAGGCAAGTGTGTTGAATGGATGAGCCAGTGGCTGACATGTCCCCTGGTTTTGACAGTCTTGAGAGGTGGATCATTTTATCACCTCCACTTGACAGAGGAGGAAACTGAGGCTCAGGGCGTTACATAACTTTCCAAGATCAAACAACTGGTAAATGGCAGAGCTGGGGCTCCCCAATTTGCCCACTTGCTAAGCCCTAGGTTCTTTCCATTCTAGGAAACCACGTTTTCCAGTTTATCCTTTTCCTACAGAGAAGAACCTAATAAGCACAGAAGGAGGGAGGGTGCTGTTTTTACCCTAATGGCCCCTAGCCCAGAGAAGCCCAGAGCCATTGTCTTTCAAAAAGAGTTCCCAGAGCCCCCCTGGTGGTCATCAGATGGGAGCCCAGGGACCTCCTGGGAGTGCAGGGCGAGAACGGCCAAACTGTACGGTAAAGGTCAGAAGACTGGCTTGGAAGCTGGTAGCTTACAGAGTAAATCTATTTAAATTGGAACCATGTGGCTCTTTCCCCCAGCGCTTACACAACGTGAACAGATGCATTGTTTGGTGTCAAAGACCCTGCGTTGACTCCACAGCTAGTCTCCACATGGAGCCCCGCAGAGGCTGTCAGGGGCAGGAGAAAGGGCAGAGAATCAGAACAGCTCAGCGAGTGTCACTTAATCCCACTCACCCTGCATTTCTGAAAGGGGAGGCGGTATGTGGAGACTGCAGAGCTCACGTCGGTGCGGGTCTGAGACCTGAAGCTAAGGCTTGCCCTTGTCTGGGTATTTTAAAAGTGAATTTGTTTGTGATAAGTTTTAGAGATGTTAGCGCCTCACACCCGCCCCCGCACCGCCCACCCCACTTATCCCACTTTAATTCTTACCATACTTTTGAGCAGGGGATAGAGAGTGGGGCTGAGTAACCATGTTGCTGTAAAATCCTCTGGGGTATCCTGGAAACTGGCACCAAGAAAAAAGTTGGGAATTTCTTCTTAAGTTGGTTTGACCACCCACCACTCCTTGTGTCCTAGATAGAAACAGGAAAAAGAAGGCTTCGAGGCTCTGGATGGCAACCTAGCTGTCTGTGCCTACCATATGCCAGGCGTTGTGTTAGACAGAGTCAGAGGGGCAAGGTAGAGAGAACTGCCTCCCGGAAGCTTTCAGTGTTCAAAATCAACATGTCAACGTCTGCAAAGTGCTTAAGAGTTATTGCAAGACACTGCCACCATTTGTTTCTTGCTATTTAGGAAACAGCTATTTCGTGCAAGGCATTTTTATTGGCAGTGCGAAGTATACTGAAGTGAAACAGGCATTATCTCTACCCTCAGGGAAGTTCTAGTCCAGGTGTGAGGTGAGGTTAACAGCAAGGACTTTGGAGTCACACATCTGGATGGGAACTTAAACAAGTAACTTGATCTTGCCGGTCCCCGATTTTTCCAACTGTAAAATGAATAACACTTAGCTCATAGGGTTGCCGTGAGGGTGGGTGAGCTCACGTATATAAGCAGTCAGTGAATGGTCACTAATGTTATTAAGCATCTGCATGACAGTAGTACGAGGGGAAAGATCACCTAAGCACAGGCGTTTTATGTTTTTTCCGTTTCCTTAAGGGTTAGCACACATTCCGGCACGTGATGGGCACCCAGGACCTGTGTTTTCAATGCATGAAGCAAGAGACCAGGCTTTTAGAGAAAGGAGGGCCCAGTGCGGCAGGGGGAGCTTGCCTGGGACACGAGAACGCTTCCTGTAGAAACTTAGATGGAGCTCGGACTTGAAGATGAATGGCGTGATCTCTGCGCAACTTTTCTAACAATTCATAAGTCACTTTACAGTTTATAAAAGACTTCTACTTTCAGTACCCCAGTTGAATCTCATGGACCTATAGGTTGGCCGAATTTGAGAGTACACTGAAGCTCAGAGAGGTGATGTACTTTGCCTAAGTTACACAGCTTCTAGGTAATAGAGCATAGATTTATTCATACCATTAGCTACTACCATTTATTGAGTGCTTTTATGTGCCAGGAATTCCACTCTCCTTTTGCTGAACTATCTGATTTAATTCTCACAGCGACCCTCGGAAGTGAGTCCTATTATAAAACATCAAGAGGCTTTCATTCAACTCAGTGCCTGGCAGATAAGAGACTCAAAGAATACTTGCCGTAATCATCATGATCCCCATTTTGTAGACGGAAAAACTGAGGTTCTGCAAGGTTTGAAGATTCATAACATATAAGATTTTCAAGCTATAGGATTTGAACTCTGGTTTGTCTGTTTCCATAACTTGTGCTTTTAGCGATAAACTTTGACCACTGCCTCCAGAGTCTTGTTCACTCTCTGTGTCTCCAGTTTCAGCCTCCAGAGATTTGGAGAGGAAGCCCATGAGGTTTTGTCTTCCAGCTGGAGTGCAGTCGTCCTGCAAGAAAGCGCCCACTCACCCTCTTGTTTCTTTCGTCCTCAGCTGCGTGCACTTCGCATGTGAGGCCGCTGACTGCCCGAAGCTGGCTGTGGAGAACGCTTCTCTCAACTGCTCCAGCAGTGACCGCTACCACGGTGCCCAGTGCACTGTGAGCTGCCGGACAGGCTACGTGCTCCAGATACAGCGGGATGATGAGCTGATCAAAAGCCAGGTGTGCACAGGTGCCGGGCTCAGAGCTCCTCTCCAGCCCAGGAAAGGCTGAGCGGATGTGGAACCTGCTCTCTGCTGAATCCTCAGCACTTAAAGTACTGCTGCCCCGTGGTAGATGCTCAATAAATAGGTGTGGATTGAATGAATGAGGGAGTCAATCTGGGATTTCTGAGACAGTGGTTCCTGTGCAGAGGAGCATACAACATGTACCAGAGTCCCCATATAGGTTGCAAATCTGGAAAACCATGGGCTGAGCATGAATTTTGGACTGAAACCGTCACAGTCAGAACTCTGCTACAGTCGAATGGGCTGCTTTCAGAAGAGGTGAACCCTCTGTCGATGAGGTGCTCATTCATTCATTCAAACATCTGCACTCCGGGAACCAGATACTATAGTAGGTGCTAGAGAAAAAAGGTCACTGAGATAAACCTAGTTCCTCCTCTCAAGGAGCTTAGTGACTAGTGACCACGAGCAGAAGATGAGTGAGTGATGGCCTCACAGTGTGCTAAACACTGTGAAGGGAAGTGCAGGGTGTTGTGGAAGCACAGGGGGAGTCAAGGAAAGCTCCCTGGAAGAAGCGACATGAAAACTGAGAACTAGAGAGACAGACAGAGGGGCGCGTGTTGTGGGGAGGGAAGGAGGCGGGCTCTAGGCACAGGCAGGAACAGTATGTGGATGCCCGTTGGTGGGAAGGAGCGCACTACAGACAGAGGTTTCTTTTACTGAACTCACCCAAGCAGTGGGGCTGGAGGGGCAAGCAAGGTGCGCCAGCGCAAGGCCCTGTTAGCTTGGTCAGAAGTTTGAGGGTCATCTTTAGGGCAGCAGGGAGCTGTTGAAGGAAGTGACGTGGTCAGATCATGGCGGATGAAGGTCCTTCCAGCGGCCCACCTGGGTGTGGCTTGGAGCCTGGCAGAAGACTGGCCGCAGGGAGAGCCATCGGGAAGTCATCAGAAGGGCGTGGGGAAGGGGGATGAGTCCCGCATGAGGGCAGTGGCAGCGGGGGGACTGGAGACGTCGCAGGACGTTGCTTCGGCCAGTGTGGCCGTGGGGTCTCGGGTGGGGGAGGCGAGCGGCAGTTAGTTAAGTCCTGAGATTTGGGGATTCCAGGTGCAGCCTCCTGGGGGGTCCTGCCAGCGGACTCCCACGTCGCGCTCCAGGTACACAGGGCACGTTCCTCGTTGCTGGGAACACCTGTTTGCACAGTCCCCGTGGGACCTCTGGGACCCTCAATTGCTTGTTTTAGACACCTGCTTTTGTGTGTCAGACACGGAAGGTCTGAAGTCCTGTGGAAACAATTAAGCTGGTTTGGGCAGTGAGGGACCTCTCCTCCCTTGGATGTGTGCTTAAGAGGGGTAAAGTGTCCCGTGCTTTTAAAATCCCAACTCAACGTTTGGCGTCCCCGATCCCCTGGGATTTGGCAGCTCCCCCCTTGAACGGAGGCCTCCGTGCTGGCTGCCGATGCCGGTCCCTCCCTTGGCTCTGTAGCGTGGCCTCGCCCTTCCACCCCTGGCCCTGCCATCTTCTAGTTTGGGTCAAATCCCTGTCGACCCTTTCATTTTCTCAGGCTCGTTCCTTCTTCACGTCTCCCTCTCCCAGCTATTGAACCGTCCCATCTCAGAGTAGGGAGTGGCTCTTAGAGCAATCCTTGGGTTCAACGCCAAAGGGACAACTCGAGGAAAGGGACCTGCCCACGATCTCATAGCACAAAGGACCAAATCCAGCTCTCCATTCTCCCCTGGCGATGCCCACTCTGTGCCAAGCAGTAGAGGATGAAACACACAGTCTCCTCCAGGGCCAAGAAAAGATACGAAGCTCAACAGCCAGCGTCCCACCGCTGTGCCGCGTTTCAGAGGCTATTTCGTGAAAGAAGTCGTCAGGCCCCGAGAGGTCTGAGTCTTAAGATTCTCAGCAACAGAATGGAAATAATGATCTGAGAGACTCTCCAGACAGCAGTGAAGAGCCTGGGCTCAATTCCCTCTCATCCTTTTTCCAGCTGTGTAACTTGGAGCTAATCCCTTAATGTCTCTCAGCCTCAGTTTCTGCAGCTGTAAAGTGGGAACTGAAACACCTCCTTCAAACAGTTGTTGGCATCATGGAAAGGGAGCTAGAGTTAAACGCTAAACATTGATCTCTGGGCGCCTGGCAAGAGCCTGCGCTGTAGCCTGGGGGAGAAGGGGGTTTCGCCACGTCTTGGGGGTTCCATCTGCCGTTCCTCACTGTGCCCGCCCCCGCCTTTCAGACAGGACCCAGTGTCACGGTGACCTGCACGGAGGGCAAGTGGAACAAGCAGGTGGTGTGTGAGCCAGTGGACTGCGGCGTCCCGGACCAGCACCACGTGTACGCTGCCTCATTCTCCTGCCTCAAGGGCACCACGTTCGGCAGCACGTGCTCCTTCCAGTGCCGCCACCCAGCGCAGCTGAAAGGTACCGTCCTTCCTGCGGGAGGCCTGGAGGCTGCTCCCAGGTCCTCCAGCTGGGGCTCAAACACCAAGGGGCGGACAGGGTTTTATCTGTGCTTCTGATTCCTTTCTGCCCATTGTATTTATGTAGACTGCCTTGCTGCGCAGCTGAGGGGAAGGTGGAGTATGGATACGTATGGCATCTGTAAGATCTTTCAAATCTTGCAAAAGAGGAAAGAGACAAGAAGGAAGGGAAGGAGGGTAGAAGGAAGGAAAAGATTCTAAGAAAGTAACATTTGGAACTGATGTGACTAGTTCACTGCGTAGGTTTAGGGCCCAGTAAGCCTAGGAGGTGAGTATTATTACTATTCTCGTTTTCACAGAGGAGGAGATCCAGGCTCAGAGAGGTGAAAGAACTTGTCCAAGATCATGCTGTTAGTGGGGGGCTCCACCATGGGGCCCAGGGCTGTCTTCTTCCACAGGCCACTGCTTCTTCTTAGGAAGGGCTCAGAGGGGAGTGGTTCTGGGCGGAAAGTGCTTACAGGGGTCTCGTGGGCAGCGTGCTGGGGGTATTTGGGTGAGTAAGACATAGTCTGGCGAGCTGGAGAAGAGAACTTATGTTGGAAACGAGTGAGAGGCTGGCCTGGGTGACCTAGACTGTCAAGACTCAACGGGCTCTTTAAACTAGTCAGGAATAACTGATTATTGGAAAGGTGGTGAAGCTGAGGTCCAGGGAGAGGAAGGAAGGACCTTGTACAAAATCGCAGAGCAAGTTAGCGGCACCGTGAGAACGACGCTCTTGGCTTCTAGTCGCGTACTGGATTTGGACGTTATACTCAATTCTCACAGGTGCCAGGACTCTCTCCTTTGCTTGGTTTATCGGAGGAAACATTGCGCCTTTATCAGACACCCCAAATGATATCGCACTAAGCAGCTGTCCTACCTTGGGGTTCATCATTCTATAGAGTGGGAATGAGTGGACTTCTGTGGAGTGGTGGCGGGGTGTGGAAGGAGGTGTGTAAATCCCCTTCAACTTAGATGTCATATTGCAAATTCATGAGTGTCAGGCATTTTGATGATTAGAGAAAGTCAATAGTGTCCCCAAATTTTCAAGGAAATATAGAACTTCAAAAGATTACCACACATAGTAAGACTCAATAAAGTGTATAGACCGAGTGGCTGGATAAATTGATGAAAGTAATACCATAAGAAATGCTTCTTTTAAGAAATGAGTGAAGGACCCGGCAATCTCATACACTGCCCCAAAAGAAAAGCAGGAAGCACTTCTGGGGTGCGTCCTTTGGGGCCCCTCATTTTTTTTTTTACCCATGAAGATTTGAATGTAAAATCATTTTATCTGAGCTTCTATAGAGATTGAGATCTGAGAGAGGTGAAGAGACCAGTGGAAACTAAACCCTCCATCTTTCAGGTTACCTGAGCCCTTCCCTTGGCCCCCATTTGCCCAGAAGTGGGACCTGTTAATAACTCCAGACTAGGAAATCACACTTCACCTCTCAATCAGAGGCCCTTGGGAAAGGGAGGTGTATAAATTAGCATTGATTATTACAGCCCTCATTGTGGCTAATAATAATCCTTAATCAAAATGATTCAGGCCCTTCTGCCATTGCTCCTCTGCTTAACTCTGGTGGAGGGGGTGACCCTACTATGTAGACATGGCCCCAGGAGGACCGCCATTTTGATAGTTGTTGATACCCACTTTGCTCTTCCCTTGAAAACACAGGGCAGCATCTCGCCAGTGGCCACATTGACCCACCAGGACCCACTGGCACACCATGACCTTGGTTCTCAGCATCATCTGATGTTCAGATTCCAGGTTTTGATGCTTGGATCTTCTGGCAGCAAAAACTGGGCAGAGGTCCTTTTACCTCTCTCTTTTTTTTTTTTTGCGGTACGCGGGCCTCTCACCGTTGTGGCCTCTCCCGTTGCGGAGCACAGGCTCCGGACGCGCAGGCTTAGCGGCCATGGCTCACGGGCGCAGCCGCTCCGCGGCATGTGGGATCTTCCCGGACCGGGGCACGAACCCGTGTCCCCTGCATCGGCAGGCAGACTCTCAACCACTGCGCCACCAGGGAAGCCCTTACCTCTCTCCTGAGCTTGTTAATGATGCCTCCCTTCTTAAGCCAGAAGATAAAGAGGTGATCAAAACAAAATTTTACCACGTTTCTTGTTGGCTTCCCTTTCCTCCCTTCGTTTTTCCTTTCCCTGCAGCGTGATTTAAGCAAAAAGAATGTGAGCTTTCATCAGACAGATTCCACGCCTGGTTCTGCCCCAACTGTTTGATCTTAGGAAAGCAGTTTCACAGCCTTGAGCCTCAGTACTCTCATTTGTAAGATGGCTGTAAGGGCAGCCACGTTGAAGTGTCATGGTGTGTACAAGAAATGGCGTGTACAAAATGCCAGGGCCCGAGAAAGCGCTTAGTAAATACTCATCTCCAGGGGGCACCCTTACGAGAATCCCTGGCTACCCTCTCGGCCCCTGACCCCTTTGTCCCATGGAGGCCTTAGTTCTGGGAGCTGTGGAGACACGATCCATCCTCCATGCTCTTCTCAGGACCTGGAGGTTAGCGTTCTCAGTCAAACAGCCACCACCCAGGAGAAGCGCTGAGTGTGGCCCTGAAACTGCTCTAATGCAGGTAGCACCGCAAACTCCCTTGCCCCTTAGAATCCAGGTGTACACAAAATACCCTGCGGACTCACAGCCCTAGAATCACTCCCGCCAAGGTCCTTTATCAAACGACCACTAAAAGCACAGACCAAACCTACAGACATGCATGAGGGAAAAAATACTACTCTCAAGTTTTAAAAAAATAACATCAAAATCATAAATGTTTAAATGGCTAAAATTGCAACGTTACTTCCATGACCTCGTCAGCCTCACCTCAACCATGTGGGGTGCCCTGGATATCAGTTCTGGAGTGGGGCTTCTGAGGCAAGCATGTGCTCATCCTACAGAAATCTTTCTAGGGACTTCCCTGGCGGTCCAGTAGTTAAGACTCCGCGCTTCCACTGCAGGGGACGTGTGTTCGATCCCTGGTGGGGGAACTAAGATCCCGCATGACGCATGACACGGCCAAAAAAAAAAATCTTTCTAAAAGGCCCACTGTCTGCTTCTGTCTAACCTCAGATTTCAACGCAGTCTATTCACTAGTTTGCAGAAGATACCTAATACCATCGAGCATCTTCTGATTTCTTTAGACTCTCCTGAAGATAGGGACGTGAGGTGAGTGCCCACACCTGCAGTGTCCAGGCTCCCGCCCAACCTCCGCTCTGTTCCTCACCCCTTACCCTCTCCCTCAGCATCCTGTCCTGACCTCCCTTCCTCTAGGAATTTCACATCCTCTCTCAGGCAGAGACCCTTTCATCTTTCTCAGAAGCAGATAGCCAGCCCTGGAGGATTCCGCTTTATCCCAAGGGTCTCATTGGGGCATCTTCCTCATAAAAACAGGGTCACCCCCAAAGGGGAGTTCTCATACCACTCCTAAGAGAATGCTGCTGCCTTCCTCTTATCGTCCTCCTACTTTGGAGATAACAGGGTCTAGGATGTCACTGGGTCCAAAGCACCACGAGATGTTGATGGTAAAGCGCTACTCAAACGCTTCCTGGGGCCTGAGGAGCGCTGTGGAGAAGAAACGTGTTCAGGATCACACAGCTGCTTAGGAAGCCGCCTTTAGATATGAGCAGTGGTAGGAATACAGACCAAGCAGCAGTTTTATCTCTTAGATAATTCTTCCTGTCTCCCTCACTCCCTCACCCCCACTCTACTCTGAACGGTCGCTCAAGCTTCAGGAGTCCAGCCTAGTCTTACTTCAGGGTTCTTAGCTGCTGCCCCAGAATCCCTTTGGCCTTTTCTAAACCATGCCCCTCAACCCAGAACTCCCATCAAACCCTGAAACAGAGGGCAGAGCTGGGAGAAGCCTAGAGGTCACCAAGGCCAATCATTTCATTGTGCAGTGCAGAAACTGAGGTCCAAGACAGGAAGGCATTTATGCAAGGTCACTGGGGCCACAAGGTCACCCAGGGGTCCTGACCCTAGAAATGGTGCCCTCTTGCTAGGTGCGCCCCTTCCCACCAACCTGGTGAAATAATCCCACTTTTGCATTCCCCAGCCCCTCCTATATGGCAGGTGTCCAACATTCCAGGCTCTTCGCTCCCTCTTCTTAGGACATTCTCCATCAATTATCCCTGTCTGTGACTGCATCTTAGCACATTCTTTTTCTTTGTGTCTAACATACGGGGCCTCTTGGTAAAGAAATTCGGAAGTGAGCGACACCGTTCTGGACAGCGGGGAGGGGGAGGGAGTGGTGAAATCTTACTCTATGACTAGTTTTGATTTTGGCATACTCCACTCGTCCACAGTCCTGATTCCATGAGGTTTTCCCTGGACAGCAGCTCCTCTTTGGCCATGCTCTTGGGTGCAGGCTCTGTAGCGGGGTCGAGAGAGCACGCAGGAGTCAGACAGACCCGGAGTGAGCCCCAGCTGTAGTTTGAGCAGCTCACTTTCCCACTCAGGGACTCACTTTTCTCACCTACAAAATGGGATTAATGACAAACTGGGTTATTAGGAGGATCAAGGAGATGGCGCCAGTGATTCTTCCTAGGCCTGCCTCATAGACTCAATTACAGACAGCTATTGGTAGAATGCCTTTCAGACATTTAGGGGGGGAAATGGACAATTTAATAATCAAAATGTGATCTGACTCACCCAGGCTGGAGCTGAGAGAGCCCAGTTTTCCTGAGCAAATGATGCTTTCTGGGACTGCCAAGCCCAGCTCAGATGTTCTCTTTAGCTCCTTGGGATTCCAGGAGCCTAGAAATGTGCTTTCAGGACTAAAATCGGCAGACGATCGCATGCTTCTCTTAGTACCTCCATTTCTCCTGCCTCAGCTTCTCCCTGACTTTATGCAGCCCTGGCACTGGGTGAGGCCTCTTCTGTATTAGTCTCCCTTGTTCTTCTTCTTCTTCTTGCGCTGTCAATTCTGTCAAGGTCTGTTTCTTTTTTTTTTTTTTTAATGAATTTATTTATTTATTTTTGGCTGCGTTGGGTCTTTGTTGCCGCACGCGGGCTTTCTCTAGTTGTGGCGAGCAGGGACTACTCTGTTGCAGTGTGCGGGCTTCTCATTGCGGTGGCTTCTCTTGTTGCGGAACACGGGCTCTAGGCGTGTGGGCTTCAGTCGTTGTTGCACACGGGTTCAGTAGTTGTGGCTCGCGGGCTCTAGATCACAGGCTCAGCAGTTGTGGCACACGGGCTTAGTTGCTCCGTGGCATGTGGGATCTTCCTGGATCAGGGATCGAACCCGTGTCCCCTGCATTGGCAGGCGGAGTCTTAACCACTGCGCCTCCAGGGAAGTCCAAGGTCTGTTTCTTAACAGGAGCAATGAAGCCGAGTCTCCTCCCACTTCTACCTTTGGTGAATGCAGCCTCCTGAGTGCTGGTTGTCCTTATCCTGGTCCAGCTAGCTGCATTTTTGTTTTCTTAATACAGTGGCCAATACCCTTCCACATCCTAAAATATTAGAGCTGGACAAGAATTTAAAGACGGCTTTGGTTTAGGGACAGAGAGGTTAGGTGACTTGTTCAAGGTCACACATAGATTCATAATACTCCACGCATTTAACAAATGGATACTGAGGGCTTACTATGTGCTTGCCACAGGGTAGGTTCTGGGAATAAAAGAATGAACAAGACCACATCCCAGACCTTAGGATGTGGGCAGTGCCGACACTGTATACAAGGCATTAAGAAAACCAGACATGGGTCTCCTGGCATTTCCCTGCTTGTATTCTACTCTAGGTTAATTTCAATCTTAAAGGCACTCTCAAAGAAATGGGGTCTTCTAGATACTCTTTAAAATACAATAATAAAAACAGATATATTTCTTTTGACAGTACATTTATAATTATTTTAATACTCACTAGAGATTGAAGTTTCCTTCGCCTGTAGACAGGCTGAGCAAGATTCATTTTCCTGACTTTAAAAGATGAGCAAACAGAAGTACAGGGTCACATAACTTACTGACATCGGCACTCTTCCCCTCAACCAGGGATTCCAGGCTCAGAAATGCCTTCACCTCGTGTCCTGAGTCATGTTCTCCCAGGAAACACAGGGAGAGGGAGAGGAATGAGAAAAGGAGGCATGGAAATGATAGAAGCGTCAGGATCTCTCCTAAAGCCAGTTACCTCTGTGGGCAGCTGGAGTTCAGTCCCGCTGGGGAGGAGTGGGAGACAGGGTAGAACATTCCTATGGAAACTGTCTTGTTAATGCCCCAGCTCCTTCACTGGTTGAGTGCTACGGCCGGGAGCACTGCCACCTCAGCGCTGTGAGCTTGCCCTGTGTGCAGCAGAGCCTCCCTGGTCAGAACAAAAGGCCTCCAGTGACAGATGGCTGCAGGTGCAGTATAGAGGTCAGAGCCAAGGGCATGGACAGCCGTGTCCTACCTACTTTCTTCAAAGCCCCAGGGTGGCTGCAGGGTGGCGGCCACAGCTAGGGCGTGGAAATGCTGATTCTGCACAGTTCAGTGCTTGCTGTGAGGTGGGGCATGTCCATGGTCCTGAATCACCGGTTCCTGCTTTAGCGTGCTTCTTCTTTTGACTGTGGTGCACGGCTAACTCCTGTTTACCCTCTCCCAGAACGTACTTTTCTGGTTTGCATTTTCTCTCTTGATTAACATTTTGCGATTTTTATGTTATTTTTTGCCACAAAGGAACCATGACTTCCGCTTAGCGATCTATGATTTGCATAGCTGGTAGGCTGTACCTTTAAAGCACCTCAGCCCTTTCTCCAGAGGTATTTGATCCTTCTTGGGAAATTTAGAGAGGGTGTGCTTCCCTTATCTTTTGTGACTGCCCTCCCCACTAAGTGCTTGCTAAGCCGGGGCTCTCCCAAACACTGCCCCCGTCACAGGGGCCAAGCGAAAAAGCACTTTATGGTCTCTGGTATCCTGGAGCCCTCTCTGCTTCTGTGGAAGCCAAATGAGTCATCCTTCCACACCCTTTTTTCTTTTTACTTGGTGTAGAAGTATCTGTAGTTTGCAGTGTCACCGTTCATCAACGTGGAATCCTCTGTGGGGCTTGCAGACCCTAAACAGTCTTGTACTCCCCAGATGACTCACACAGACACAGGAGGAGAAAGAAGAAAGTGAACGGGGAGAGAAGCAACGGAGGAGCCTACATACCCTCCCCCCTTTCTTCTTTTTCATGCTTTATTTCTCTCCATAGTGCTTTCCACCTTCTAGCCTACTAAATAGGTTGCTTTTTTAGGATATTTTAACGCGTTCCTCCCCATTCCACTGCAACATAAGCTCCAGGAGGGCAGGGTTTGGGTTTATGTTTTGTTCACTGCGTTGTCCCAACATAGACAAGAGTGGCTGGCGCAGAGTAGGCACTAAATAGATGTTTGTTGAATGAATGAAGGCTTCCATGCGACCCCTATGGTCCTTGCAGGTCTGCTACTGAAGGCAGAGGTTAGGAGGGAGAGAGGGGGGAGGTGAGGAAGAAAAGAAGGGAGGGAAGGAGGGAGAGAAGCAAATAAGGAATTTGACAGCACATTTTCTTTGGCAGCGCAGTTCGTAAATGTTGTTTCATCTGATCTTCTCATCACCCTGAAAGGCAGGAGCAATTGCTTTCTCTCTGTAGCTAGGAGACTTGGGGCTTGGCTCTCTCAGAGTAGACCCTGAGAGCTCTGCTGAGCAAGTGTAGCCAACTTGCCATTAAAAACCACAAAATCAGCTTTAGACCCCACTTTAGTCTTTTACTAACCAGGAGAACTTGGTCAAGTCACTTGTCTCTCTTAAGTCCCTGTTTCCAAATGGGAGTCATCCTACTAAGAGCACTGTGGTGGGAATAAATGAGATCACATAGCAGAAGTACTCAGTACGTCGTAAATGATCAGTCTCGTCCCTGTCACCCCTCTCCAACTTCCAAGTCCCGGAGCCTCCCATGTGATTCCAGTCCTCGTTGTCAACACCTTTCAAGAATAACGGGGAAGAGGAGAGTTTGGTTGAGAGATCCAAGTTTCGGGTCCATCTCTGATTGTCTTGGGGAGGTTTGGGGCAGGCTGTGCATCGATAATGTATGACCTGGCAGTGAACAGCCTGACTCCCCGTGTTTGACTTTTATGTGTAACGTTCCCCATCAGGCCAGCTTCCCGATGGCAGTCAGCACGTCTGTTGGAGCTGGCACGGGCTACGGGGGACGTGCTCATCTCTCAGCCGCTTTGGCAAAAGCTGCACTGAATACTGGGGCCTGAAAAGAAAATCAAGCCTTCAGATACCACAACGCTCTTACTTCCAGGCACAGGGGGGGCTAGGACAAATACAGGGGTACAGGGCTCAGAGAGGGAGCGGCAGCTAGAGGTCACACAGCACACTGATCCCAGAGGTCGGAAATGATTCTGATAGGAGCTTGCTCTGCCAGTTATGAGAGGGCAAGGGCCTTCATCTCTGGGCTCGAATGTCCATGGCAAAGGAGGGAGGATGGACTGAAGGATTATGGAGTTCCCTTTTCTATGCAGTATAAGAGGTTTCAGAATCAAGAGTCAGGAGCCTTGAATTTTAATGCACTGTCGACATGGGGTACGTCACTCCCCAAGTTGCATCTCCTTTTTTTTTTTGTGGCAGCTCTTTCTCTCCCTAGGTTCCTCAGTTATAAGTGGAAGGGTCTGGAATTATATGTGAAAGATCCTCTGGTTCTTCAAGTTGGCTTCAGTCCAGGCAGTGCCTGAATTGGGCTATCAGAGACCACGCTCCGCACCCCACCCCGACCCCACCCACCCCCCGCTAACCCTGCCTTCCTGTGTCCTCCAGGCAACAACAGTCTCCTGACCTGCATGGAGGACGGACTGTGGTCCTTCCCAGAGGCCCTGTGCGAGCTCCTGTGCCTGGCCCCACCCCCAGTGCCCAACGCAGACCTCCAGACGGCCCGCTGCCGGGAGAACAAGCACAAGGTGGGCTCTTTCTGCAAGTACAAGTGCAGACCTGGATACCACGTGCCCGGCTCCTCCCGGAAGTCAAAGAAGTAAGTGGGGCTGCAAAGGCAAACTCACACGTGCTTGGGGGGAGGAGAGCCAGGTCTGGCTGGCTGGTTAGAAGGAAGTGCTCACTTCTCTGCTAGAGACGGTACCCACCATTCCTCGCATTCTCTTTGGTGGAAATCTAGAAGGATATTGTTAACAACTGCCTGCCGGCTGTGTGCCCTCAGGCAACTGACTTCACTTCTCTGGGCCTCTACTTTTCAGTAATAAGATGGGGATGATAATAACAGTTACCACATAAGATTGCTGTGAAAAATTTGCATGAGGATGTATATGTAAAGTGCTTGCAAAGTGCCTGGTATATAGTAAATGGTGGGTACTGATACCGTCCTTGCGCCAGGATCCATCAGAGGAGACGGGCCAGCAGGGCTTGAATTTTATTTCAGTCCACAGGTAACTCTTGCTTGGCCCTGAGAAAGGAACGTTTACCTTCACCCCTACCACCCAACAGGACAGGCAGGGAATCAGGAAGGGGAAAGGGAGACGTGAGGCTAGCCGGCTCCAGAGGAACGTGGGTGCAGAGCGTGGCTCTAGCCGTTTGGTCCCTGAGATGTCTCTTCTTTTATCTCTTCCTTGAAGACGGGCCTTCAAGACCCAGTGCACCCAAGATGGCAGCTGGCAGGAGGGCGCTTGTGTTCCGGTGACTTGTGACCCTCCTCCGCCGAAGTTCCACGGGCTCTACCAGTGCACTAATGGCTTCCAGTTCAACAGCGAGTGCAGGGTCAAGTGTGAAGATAGCGATGCCACCCAGGTGAGACTCCTTGAACCTGAGGTCTGTACTTAGGTCCCGCTCCTCTCTGCTTACCAAAGAGCGGCCAGTGTTTTAAGAACCACGTCCTCGGGCTTCCCTGGTGGCGCAGTGGTTGAGAGTCCGCTTGCCGATGCAGGGGACACGGGTTCGTGCCCCGGTCCGGGAAGATCCCACATGCCGCGGAGCGGCTGGGCCTGTGAGCCATGGCCGCTGGGCCTGCGCGTCCGGAGCCTGTGCTCCGCAACGGGAGAGGCCACAACAGTGAGAGGCCCGCGTACCGCAAATTAAAAAAAAAAACAACAAAAAAAAAACACGTCCTCTAGGAGACTCTCTGTGGATGCCAGAATCGTATAATAGCAACATCAGCAACGCAGACGTGAGGGGCTGGGTTCTCGCCATCTTTCTTTGTAACCTCTCTGAGCCTCGTTGTCCTGCCTGTGTCACTGCATTTTACTGGTTCAGAGATTCTTAGCTCTGAACGCCTATGAGAGAAATCACGTGTGGAATCCCAGTGTATGAAGTCGATCCGAGTTAAGGAATGACCAAGGCTGTTTGGCCAACTTTCTACCACCATCACCACTTATGTTGGTCCCTGAAATACTTAAAATCATGACTTTCACTATCTTGGGACATCAGCTGACTCCTCAAGCATAAAGAGAAAGGGAACCATATTTAGACTAGATGTACAGTTTTGAGAATACTATGGAAGAAGGAAGGACAGAGGGAGATGGGATTTTATCTCAATCCACATGTAACAGACAAAGTCCAGCACTCCTGCCGGCCCTGCGGAAGGAGTTCTGTGAATGCATTTTCCTTCCTCCTGACACATACACTCCACCCACTAAGATGGGTAGGGAATCAAGAGTGGGAAAGAGAATGATGAGCCAGCTGGCTCCAGAGAAGACCTAAGTCCACGAGGAGCTCCAACCCTGAGAGAACCAACAATTTAGGGTTGGCATCTCAAGCCCCATGCCTCACAGGTGTGCAAGGCCAGGGTCCAGCCAACTGGGCCCCAGTGCACGTTTCTCCCCCTGTCAGTCCTTAGTCTTTATTAGCATCTACCGAATACCAGACAGTGTCAAAGCGGCATCCTCACCTCATCTCACTCGCGCTCCCACATCCAGATAGCCACCACGTCCTCCCCGTTCTCTCTCTCAGGCAGCTTCTGAACTGTTCTCACCTGGCTCCAATGCCGCCACCCTGACTCAGGCCACCAGCGTCACTCTCCGGGGCCGCCATGCAGCTTCCTGACCATCTCCTTGCTTTCTCCTTGCCTCTCTCCAGTGTGTTGTTCGCATTTCAGCCAGAGTGGTTTGTTTAGAGCACAAATGTGATGGTAACAGTTCCCCTGCTCAAAGCCCTTTGTGAACCAGCGACCCCCATCTCCCTTAGGAGAAATCCCACCTGTGCATTCAGGACGCCTCCCCCATCACCAGTAAGACGGATCTCCCCTTCACCTGGGCATCCTCTGTGAAAAAGCCCCGTCCCCTTTTCCAGCCACCTCACTCCTAACCATCCTTCACCATTCAGCCCAGGTAGCCCTCCTTCCAAGGACCTTTTCCTGACCCTTCCACTGTGGGCTCCATGCCCCTCCTAGGGGTCCCCCCATTCACAGCATCGACCACACTGCATTGTAATTCATTTCACCTCCCCCCTCCCCCCGCCAGGTTCTGAAATGCCTGACCACAGCTTTAATCTTCCCTGTGTTTTCAGCACTTGGGACAGTGCCAAGCACCTAATAGGTGCTCAGGAAGCGACAGGGCATGAGAGAGAGCTGCAGTGAACATCCAGGCCAGGCTCCTCATTTTCCAGACGAGAAAGCCACTCACCCACCCAAGGTGACATAGCTGGTGGCGGCTGAGTCAGAATCGGAACCCAGGTCCCCCCCAACTGTGGACAGACTGAATCCAATAGGCAGCACCTGAAACACTCAGGGATGTCTGTGCACCCGAGTCATCCCCATCCCCGGCTGCCAGGGAAGCGGAAGCCAGTGCTGAGAACAAGCAAAGGCCAGAGATTACCGTGGCCTCACGCAGCCGATCAACTTCCCTCTCTCTCCCTTACGTAAAACTGTTGCTAACAGTTACCAGAACTGCTGAGCCGAATAATATTCTGGCCGTGGTCACGTTATCAAACCGAAACCCAGTCTGCCTGCGGCCTGCCAAGTACCTTTCATGGCCAGTTTGTATTTAAAGGAGAGGAAAATGTAAATTTATCAGACGACTCAAGCAGTTCTGTTTGGCAACTGGCAGAGAGGCCAGACACAAAGGAGCAGAGGGTATTGCTTGCCGGCTAGAAGAATGAGGGAACGCATGCCAAATGGGCTCCTAATACAATTGACGTTTCTAGTTTGTACTGCAAATGAATTTCCTCTACCCTCAGACCAGGGGCCTAAGAGCCAAATCTAGTATTCACCTCAGATCCCCTCTTGCTGCCTGTAAGCACAGCTGAAGCGTACGGCACAGAGTATCTTGAATCAAGCAGCTTGTGTGGAGCGAGAATTCTTTGCTTTCCAAACAAGTTCCAGATCCTGGCGAGAGAGGACAGGGACCGTTGCAGGGGAGGTTCACATACTCCTTCCCACGGCCACTAAAAGTACATTAGCAAATCAAACCTCGACTTCATTCATTCCTTGGGAGCCAGTATGATGCTGGATCTGGACTCTGAGTGTGAATCCTGGCTTCACCACTTGCTAGCTGGAGGACTTGGGCAAGTTGTTTAACTCTTTAAGCTTCAGTTTGCTCATTCATAAAATGGGGGAGGGGAAATACTACTACCTACCTTATAGTTTATTTGTGAGGGTTAAATGAGGTAATGAAAGTAAGGCATGCCTATGAGGAACCCCTGGAATTGTAGAGTGTACAACCTATGCCACCGTGCATGGCAGCCTTGGGGAAGGCACAGATGAACTAGCCTGCCTTTAAGGTCACTTCTAGTGGAGAGATGCCACATGGATCGTGATGTGCCACGTGGGCTCTTACAGAACCTGGAAACAAAGGCAATGGCTTGAAAGTTAGCCCTCTGTCGGCAGCTAGTCCCAGAAAGTCAGCCATCATGCATGAGGCCAGGATATAGGTTGGGGAGACCAATAGGAACCATAGGAACCTGACCTCTAGCTCACATAAACCTGTAGAATATATAGACTCTCTAGATGAGCGCCACCCTGGAGAACCTTCTGCTGTGATGGAAGTGTTCCATGTCTGTGCTGTGCAATATGGTGGCCTCCAGCAATGTGTGGCTATGGACCGCTTGAAATACAGCTAAGTGACTGAACAGCTAAATGTTACATTTTACTTAATTTTAAATCATTCAAATTTAAATGTAAACAGCCACACTTGTATAGTGGCTGCCGTATTGAACAGTTCAGCTGTAGAATTTATAGTGTTATTATCCCTGTAAACCAAGACAGAGAACCTTAACAATAACAGCTTTTAAAAAAAATGTTTTTTAAGTATTTCCTGACTGCCAGCCTGAAGCCACAGATTTTCTCTCACTTTGGCACCTCATAATAAACTTCTGAAAAAGAAGCGATGTGCCCATTTTGCAGATAAGGGAAGAAAGCCTGTGAAGCCAAGCTCTTGCCCACGGTTATGAGTCAGTAGGTGGCGATGACTGGCTCCAGGGCCCTGCTTTTCCCACTGTCTCCAGACATTTCCAGGGCAGGGAGTGGCAAAGGACAGGGATTCCATCTCCAGGCGACTGGAGAGAAGTGCTAATTGAGCATTTAATCTAACTCAGATGCCCCTGAGCTGTCCGAGGTGATAACACAGCGAGAAGCACTGTGGGAGGCTTTGTAGGTGATTAGGGGAGTGGGCTGTCTTGGGATGGGGACAGGGTCTGTGGGAGATGCATGCACAGGGGCTGCAGCAGGAGAGGAAGAAGCTAAAGGTGCTTTCGGAACGAAGTAATGCACTCGGTGGTGGACTTTAGCAACACAGCGGGAGCCAGAGAGGAAGGGTGGGAGTGGAGCCAGGAATGCACCCAGTTCTTTGCACGGATCACAGAGGAAGGATGGAAAAGCCTTTCTGCCACTAGTGGTGTGCAGCTGGCCCTGCCTTTCTGGGTCTGCTCTGGACTCAGCACAGCTCTCACATGTATAATGCCTCCCAGGGCAGGGGCAGCTTCTAGTTTCAGGGTTGTCACATGCTTGCCCGAGAATGCAGGGCTTCCCAGAGGAAGTCAGAGACATCCCAGGCCCATGTGATGTTGGAGGTGGGCCAGACCTCAGAGATTTTCTACTGCAGCACATTTACCTTATAGATGGGACCACTGGAGCCCAGAGAGGGGAAGCAACGTACCTCAAGTCACACAGCAAGTTATTGATACCAGCAGAGTCAGATCTGACACAGAGTCTCAGAGTCTCCTAACCAAGTCTCCTAACCAAGTCGTTGCACAAGCCACATTTTCTGCCCATCCTTACTCCTGGAGCTGCGTGTCACCCCTGTATCTCACTGGGAGGAAGCAAAATGCATGTAAGGCCATTGACTGGACACATAGGCAAAGAGTGAACAGCAGCTGTGATTTACTGAGCACTTACTACATTTCAGTCTGGGCTAAGTGCTTTACACAGACTACTTCATTTAAGCCCCACAGCATCTGGCACTACTGTCCCGTTTTGAAGATGAGGAAGATGTGGTTCAGTGAGGTCAAGTGGCTTGCCCACCTTCTACAACTAGGAAGTCCAGGTAGAACGGAGACTCCAGTTGCTAGGTCAGGCTGCCTCCAAAGTTTAACTGTTTATATCCTGCGCTGCACCCTGCGGTTCTGCCTGGCTCTGATGTTGCCATGTTTCTCTCTGCCATTATTTTGTTTATTTTCATTTCTGCTAAGTAGAAAAGGTCTAGGTCTCCCTCTCCACTCATCCCCCAGCCTCTCCTCTCCACCTCCCCTCCCCTGCATTGTAGTAAAGCTCAGAGGCTTACAGGAAGAGGTCTGGCTCTGGCCCCGACGACCTGCGTGACTTGGGCCTGCTGCCTCCCTATTTTGGTGGCTGCCATCTCTAGAGTGTGGGTGACGCTGGGGCTGATTCTGAAGTTCCCTTGGAGACAGTGCGACAGGGTGGTTACGAGCTCAGCTCACCCTTAGAGAGCTCGATGTGTGTGGTAAGCTCTAAATGCTTCACGTAACCTAACTCACTTAATCCTCGCGGTGACTTTCTCAGGCCGTGAACTGCAGGCTTATTTAACAGTTGAGGAAACTGAGGCAGAGAGAAGTTAAGGAACTTCCCCAAGTGGGAAAGTTGCAGAGATGGGATTTGAACCTGGGCAGCTGGCTTAAGTCCATACTCTTAACCATTACACCAATACCATTTAAAAACTCATCTTTCACTTCCTAGCTGAGCCTCAGTTTCCAAATCTGTAAAAGGGACATAATTTCTACATTAACTACATCGTTAAAAGCATTTTTAAATGTGCGTAGAACGCTTGGCACATACTAGGTATCTGATACTGTGTTGTATGCCTGCGGCTCTCTGTGGACCTGTGCAGCTGAAGAGGGGTCGAGAGAGCACAATATGCTCTTTTACAGATGCATGCACAGGCACAGAGAGGCACAGTGCTTTGCTGAGGGACGCTCAGCCCCCTGGTGAGAATTTTCCCCCTGGCATGCAGCACTGTGCGTTTGGAGCCAAGTACACACAGTGGGTCCCCTGCCCGTGGTCTCTGGTCTTCCCAGATGGGGTCCTCAATGTCAGGTCATCTCTGATCAAACTAGACTCAACATCATGGATCTTACTCTTGAGGGTACGCACCGGTTGGTAGGCAGCCCTGAGTGCACCAAGATCTATTCCCAAAGGAGGATTCGAACATCTGGAGAGGCTCCAGGAGGTCTGCCGTGCAGAGGGCACAGTAGGGGCAAAGGGATGGTGGTGGGAAGCAAGAGAGGTGTGCAGGAGAGACAGGTGACCCCAGACGAGCAGGAAGGACATGTGTGTAGCAAGAGATGGGGCTGGACATGTCGTCTGGGTTCCACTGTAGAAGCCTGCCCTGGACTGCCAGCCCTCAAGTAAGCCTTGTTTGAAAGTCCAGTCCAGAAGGATTCCGTCCTCTGTAAGGCCGATTTAGTCAGCAGCAGAAAGTGCTCGATGACCTGGGCAGGAGGGAGAGAGTCAAGAGGTAGCAAGACCAATAGCTTTATGCTCCCACCTTCTATAGTGGAGCCTCCCCAGTCTGAAATTCCCTGAGCAGATTCCAGTCAGTTCTAATACATTCTCTTTTGCAAACCGAGCTCTCCAGCCAGCTCTGGCCCACATAGTGCTGAGGTCTGCAGCCCTTCAGGGGCTGGAGGCCAAATGCATCATAGGCCCAGGCCAAGGCTCCAGGAAATTGGGGTCAATTTCCTACTCCCATGAGGGCCCAGCCGAATCACGGGGCCTGGGGCTCTGGGAGGGAGAGTCGGGGTTCTCTGAAGCCACATGAAGCTGCCTACACTTTCCCTGAGCTCACATGGAACCTCTGGGTGGACTCGGCAGTCATCCCACAGCTGCGTGCTCGGGATGGGCCACCCTTCTCGATGGCCACAGAGGCTTCCACCACAACTGGACCCTCCTCGTGCTGGTCCACGTGAGGCCCAGAGAGGGGCCCCCTTTCTCTCTAAATCCCCTCTCCTTGCAGCTGTTTTCTCAGACAGGGAAGCTTCAGCCTGCATCAACCCTTTCCAAGAGTTTATTTTTTCATGTGTTCACTCATTCATTTATTCCCGTATTCGTTCATTTCTTCATCGCTTGATTCATGCATTCATTTCTCTTCTTGTGTTTTAAACAAGTTCCTTCCATAACTGTCACCTGTTGACGCCATATCTTGTTAAACGGTTCTTGAGTGAGCAAAAATACTGAGTGACGAGTGAATGGACCAAAGGCCAGGACCTATTAAGTGTTGTGGAAGGCCCTGGGGATGCAGGGATGACTAAGGAGCTCATCGTCTAGGAGGGAGCAGTGGGGATAAAGAGGCAGTGGGTGTCAGAGGCCTTCGGGTAGTGTTCTGTGCAGGACCGGGGTGGTGTTAGGACAGGATGGCTTGTGCCAGAAAAGGTCTGTGCCGGTGTTTGGGCAGGAGGGCAGGGGAGAGGGACAGAGCAGACGGGAGGAGAAGCACGGCCGTGTGACACCTCATGGGGTGCATTCAGGAATGCAGGCGACTGGTGGAGTTCAAGGATAGCGGCGGTGCTGTGGGCAGCGGGGAGCTGGAGAATCAGGCAGAGTTAAGGCTCTGAGGGCTCTGGAGGCCAGACGCAGGGGCTTGAGTGGCAGCTGAAGGGCATGGGAGCCATTCCGCAGACATTTTCATTGGCGGAGCGTGGTCAGCTGCTCTGGCCCCACGTAGAGTTTCTCTTCTCATCCTAAACGTGAAAGAGGGAGACGCTATACAGCTTGTTCTCACACAGGAGGCCCCACTGTACAGAGACTACCCGTGGTTCTCCAGTTCCAAGGGGTAGAGTCCAGACTCCATAAGTGGCTGTTTAAGGCTCCACACCTTACCTGCCGTACCAGCTCTTCCCGACTCCCTCCCTCTTGAACTTGCATGTGCCCTTTGGCCTTGCACAGGTGTCCTTCCCTCCCTGTTCTGCCTGATTCCACACAGAATCTTGAAAACTCTTTTCAGTATGTCACCTCCTCTCAGAGGCCTTCCCAGCTTGCCCCTCACAACCGGTTATTCTCGCCCGGTGCACACAGCACAGTCACTGAACAGGGTCCTGAACCCAGAGTGGACACTAAGAAACGGTCTTTGGATTTAGGGGTGGTTCTGAAATTTCGACAAAGCTGGACACCTCCCGTTAGAATCTTAGATGTGCAAAGCGGTTTGGAGGAAGGACGACGTCTGCAGGCTGCACTTGCCCGTGACTTTGCAGAAGATTGACAAATGGGAAATGTTGCCTAATTTAAAGAATCAGAGGGGAGGGCGCAGATGGAAGTATCCCCCCACCCACCCTCTTGGTGGCATTATTGCTGGAATGGAATGGAGCAGAAGGGAGGACGGGAAGGGGAAGGAGAGGAGGGAATCCCTGGAAGAGAAAGCTCCTCAGCGGAGCCAAGGTCGCCTACTTAGCACGTGGCAGAGCCCTGGCCTGGGACGCTTTCTCATCGATTGAGAGGAAACGAGCCTTGGTGTATGCCTGTCTCCTTCCAAACAGCGCCAGGACCCATGTTTACTCACGGTACACGTTGGGGGTGCACGTGGGTCCCACCTTCTCAGTTAAAAACAAACAACAAGCAGAACACATTTCTCCGATTGAAATCCCTGAAAGAGCACTGCTGAGATTTAGGAAACCTGGGAGTTAAACTCTCCAGGATGCTTTGAGCAAGTTTGTTCCCACACTGAGTCCTCAGTTTCCCTGTCTGTAAAATGGAGATATTACAGTTCCTCTGTCTGAGGGTGGTTGGGTTTCCACCACTGTTAAGAACTTGTTTTTTTAACATTTTCAGAGCTCTGGGGAGATGCAACACTCAGAGGCTTCTTCTGTGGAGGGTGGGGTCTCTCTTGGTCCTGACTGTGCTTCTGTGGCGTTCAGGGGCACGGGAGCAACGTCATCCACTGCCGGAAAGATGGTACCTGGAGCGGCTCCTTCCACGTCTGCCAGGAGATGCAAGGCCAGTGCTCAGCCCCGGACCAGCTCAACAGCAACCTGAAGCTGCAGTGCCCTGCAGGCTATGCCATCGGTATGACGGGCGTGTCGGGTTGAGCAGTGGGAGGGCACGTCCTTCCAGGAGCTCGGGGCTCGCGCCCTGCCGAGGACTTGGGCAGCCGTGCTGTTTGAGACCTTGCGTGAGGCGCTGGGGAAATGAAGAGGAATGAGACCAGACCCTGTCCTCCCAGAGAGAGTTCAGGGCGTGGATGTTGGCAAAGCAGCGTTGGGTGAGCGTGCACAGTTGCACTGGAGTACAGAACAGCTGACCGGTGCCTCCGGGGACACAGAAGGCTCCCAGAGGAAGGGATGCTTATACAGGGATTTGCAAGAGCTTGTGGGGCAAGAAGTGGCATTCCAGGCAGAAGGAATCGTGTGGCAAAGGGAGGGAGGGATGAAAACACACACACATCCTGTTTAGGGAAGCAGTGGTGGTCCAGCGTGGCAGCCTTTGCTATTAGTCTTAAAGTTTATGTAGTGCTGATCGTTCGTAGTACCGACTGTGGTCAGTGCCGCACCAAGCGCTGCAGAGGCGTTACCTCGTATCCTCTCAGTAACCTTTAACAGGTGAGGAAATCGAGACTCAAAGGGATCTTCGCAGCCTCTCCTTCTCCAAAGCCTGAGTCCTTTCCACGGCATTCCAGCTGCCTCCTAAATAGGGATGAACCGTGTTTTCAGAATACTATTTGCGTGGTGATAGACCAGCTTGCCAAGTGAAGGGAGACGACCTGGGGTGTGACGCCAGGAGTCTGCCTGGTGGAAAGCAGGTGTCTGGACAGACGCATTAATCACAGGCCCGCGGCTTTCTGGGGAGCTGGGTGTGCATTGAGTCTAATCTCAGTTGAGGGCAGTGATACTGACCTCTTGGGCTGATTCCCTAATTGACCACGATGAAGAGCCCAGGGAATTGGATGTCCTTTCTCATGGCCAGTCCTGGGACAATCACCAGGGATGTCTGGAGCAGAAGGTTATCTGTGCAGGCACTCACTCCCAGCCACACAGAGTCAATGTGATCCTCACCTAGTAAAACGAGTTATCGTTTCATGTCCAGAAGGGAGGCCCATGGCTGGAGAGCAGAGGCGTGAGGGGGCCTGACCCCTTCCTTTTAAAGATGGAAACATGTAGCTTCCAAGTGCAGAGGTTCTTCACCTGAACTCAGAGTAGGGATCAGCCCTCCTGTGTCAGTCCAGGACGGGTCAGAAAACACCCACGGACACGGTCGCTGTCGTGCTGATTCCAGGGGTACTTTAAGAACTTGCCGATCCGCCGATCCGAAGGGCCCTGACCAGGAGGGTTGCCGAGAGGCGGGATTTGTAGGGCCTGCCAGTGTACGCTTTCTAGAGAGCTGGGGCAACAGGTGCAGCAATGGCACGTAGCTTTGGCTCTTCCATCCCAAGGCCAAGGCTTTCTCCTCTCCGTTACCCCTGAGGGGTGTTCATGGCTCTGGACGCTTCTGTCTGTGACGGGGTCCCTGTCCCCAGCTCAGTCAGGGCAGGCACCTGAATACTCAGTCACACTCACGACTGGCCTTGAGCAACCCTGGGAGAAAAAATTCTGATGAAAAACAGACCTCCTGCATGTCTGCACCGACACAATCAACACATATATTCATATACGCACAAATGCTTAACCAGATGCGCACACACGTCATGTGGTGAGCCCATGCCTAGCACGTACGCTTCAGCGAGACGCCACACACGTTCGCCACCCATAAACCCGCGTGCAGCTCGCACACACATACACAAACACACCTCGTGGCCCCTTTGCACCTGTACTGTGTGTACCTGTCACAGGCACATGAAAGTGAGCCAGAATGCCTGGCTCTCTGCTGGCCCACAGAACGGTCAAGAGGGAGGGGGAGGGGGTGACGGTAGCATTTGCTTTACCCACTGAGCTTCTTCATGGTCAGAGCAGAAAGGGAAAGCAAGCTGTCTGACATCAGAACCTGAATCTCCTTCCCTTCCTCATGCTCCCGCGGCCATGCAGATGCCAGTTTTATGAATACGGTGACCCGGGATGGGCGGTGGGCAGGTGAGGGCACACGGGGAGAGCTGAGAGAGTAGAAGCGGCCTGGGGCACTGAGGGGTGGCCGGAGGACGGAGGGGAGAGGCTTCTCTCCCCCAGCCCCCGGGCTGCTCTCCCTCCTGCCGCATTCTGAGCCCCTCCCTGGGCAGAGCCCATCTCACCAAGGAGAGGGACTCGACCAAAGGCCTGGTAAGCAGGGCACGGGTGACGTAGGTGTCCAGCTCGGTGGCTGGGGCCCACGTGCTGGGGCCACCCAGAGCAGCTCTTCCAGGGTCCCTCCCCGAGCAGCCTGGGGAGGCTTCTGTGGCAGTGAGGGGTCCTCAGAAAGTTGTTACTGCCACCAAGGCCGCTGCCACCATCCCTGCTCCTCCCGGGAAGGGGAGGCGGGGGCCGCGGAGATCACCAGTCTGTAGTGAGGCCGATTAGGCCTCATGTATCACAACACGGCAGCCTGGTCCTGAGGCCCAGAGCCGGGCATGGGGGAGGGGAGTGCCGAGGGGGGGGTGCGGGGAAAGAGAAATTAAGATGTGGCTCCCGCGTAAGGCGGCGGTGGCCTCCTGTGCTGACCTGTTCTTTCCCCCCTTTCGGGATAAATAACCTTGTCTGCTTCTCAGAGGCTGCGTCTTCTTTTCTCAAAGGATTTTATCATCGCAGCCTGGCTTCATCCTTGCTCCCTAAAATCTTCAGAACTGATCTCGTGACAGACACACACCACTGAGTGTCTCTGACTGCTTAGAGATCCCTCTTCTTCTCGTCACTCACCCTTTTTTGTCTTTTTGTGTGCCCCCCATTTCTTTTCTTTCTTCTGACCCTTCACCCCTCTCTGTCCCCTTCCACTGCTGCCTTCTTTTCTCTTCCCTCTGCGTCTCCGCCGTATCCATCACTGGGCTTGGAATTCAGAGAGACGTGGGCTTCCATTCACGGCCCCCTACTCGCCAGCTCTGCGACCCGAGCTTGCACGCTGCATGCTGTCGCCTCTGAGACGGGTGCGATGACACTGGGTGTGCAGGGGAACGAGGACCGGGAATATCCCCATCCCCACCTTCTGGGCTCAGTGGCCCCATGTTTAAATTAAAGAGGTTCCAGAGATTGTCCTGGACCCACCACCCCACCCTGGCTACCTCTTCAGATTCTGTGAGTCTCTTAGATTGAAGAGGATGACAAGGTGGCAACAGGAATGGCACTGGATAAACTATATATACATATACAAGTGTCTGTGTACATATAGCTGCATGTATGCATAAACATACTTACATACTGCGTGTACACACACACACACGCGCGTTTGGAAGGGAGCCTTTAGAATGGCTCACAGCATAGGATGTTTTTCAAGAGGGTTGACTCTTGTAAACCATTTAGTGTTCAAGGGTGGTCTTGGCCCTAAGGCAGGGGAATGACCTCCTTAGGGCCCTGGTCAGATTCTGACACATCAGTTCTTTGTCCATATGAATGAGCACTTTTTTGGGAGTCCTGGGGACATCCCATGGGATGAGCTTGATTTTTAGGAGACTTCAGAATCAGTGAGGTCAGGACAGAGAATGTATGAGTCAAATTACAGTCATCTTGCTAACCCACAGCTTGAAAGTCAGCTGAAGAAGTCCCTGGACCAAGGGCTTCTGTGTACTAACCCTGTCCCTGTTGGTCATGGCGCCTTCACCGACTCACTGCCTGATTCATGTTTTCATCCCTTTATCCACTTACTCAGTCATGTATTCATTCACTCATCCATCTAGGTACCCGCTTCCTCCACCACGAGATGCCTCATTCATCATTCACTCATTGTGCCAGTCATCCATTCATTCATTCACTCTCTCATTTCCTCAACCACCTATGCCCCCGTTCACTCTTGTCCCTTTCACTCACTTCACAGATACTCACTGAGTGCCTGCCATCCGCCACGCACAGTGCCAGGCTCTGGGCATAGCAGGGGGAGCGCGGGCAGTGCTGGCCTCCTGGAGTTACAGTCGAGCAGGGAAGAGAGCTGTTGGTACAACAGTCACCAAGCCAATGTGACAGATCTGTGCTGGGTGCCAGTGAGAGGGTTTGGCCCGTCAGGAATGGAGGTTTTCTCCGAGCAAGCGACACGTGGATTGAGGTCTGAAGGGTCACTAACTGGTCATACGCTAGTGGAAGAGGGGCGGGGATGGTCTCGAGGGCACAGAGGGTGCGAATGCAGGCGGTGTGGGAGGAGAAGTGTGGGGCTGAGACGTTGACGTTGCATTCACAGGCTCACCATTCATTTGGTTGACGCCTGCTGAGCAGACCCCGTGTGTCAGGCACTGGGTTAGGCTCAGAGAGGAACCGATCCCATCCCTGCCCTCCCAGGGCATCCCTGTTACTGGGGAAAGGAGGGACAGGGGGTAAGCCCAGCACCGGAGTGAGATTCCTCAGTGCCAAACTCTGCTCTCACTCAGCTGCAGAAATCAGGGCAGGCTTCTTGGAGGATTTGAGCTGGACTTTGAAGAACTGTTAGGATTTGACCGTGCAAAGGCAGATCGGGGGGACGATTCAGGAGACAGGATGGACAGGAACAGAAGTACGGAGGCGAGGAAGTGTGGTACTCCCATGCGAAACCGAGCACAGTCCGGTTGGTGGGAGGGTGTGAAGATGGTTAGTGGGAGATAAGGTTGACCAGACCGTGGGAGGCCATGGATGCCGAGCAAAGGGATCTGGACTTGGTCCTGGATGTGGGGAACCTTCGAAAGGTTTCTGAGCAGAGGCGGAGCAGGACCAACCTGGGCTGAGGGCTGCTGAGCGTGGTGGTGCGGGCCAGCTGGACTGGAGACAAGAGGACGGTCAGGGAGACCAGAGGTGGCGCTGCCGGGGCGTTCACTCCTGCCCACTGCCCTTGAGGGTGGGCGTCCCCACTCACTGGGGACCAGGGAGCGGCGGGGTCCACTCTGGGGGTGGGGCAGCCCCTGGCATCAGGAGATGGGGGCTGAGCCACCACCTCACTCTCGGCTTCCCCTCAGGGTCGGAGTGTGCCACCTCGTGCCTGGACCACAACAGCGAGTCCATCATCCTGCCAGTGAACGTGACCGTCCGTGACATCCCCCACTGGCTGAACCCCACGCGGGTGGAGGTGAGTGACTGGGGCCACCCACCTGTGGCTCAGGGAGGGAAATGACCTTGTTGACCACTTACACGCTCTGGTCCTGCATTAGTCCCTCTACATACGTGAAAGCATCTAACGGTCACATCTGCTCTGTGGAGTGAAGACTTGTTCACCATCGTTTTTCCAGCCCTTAAGTGTTTAATACCTTCCCTCTGACAGGCCCTGTGCTATGGACCTTTTATGTACTGTCCCGCTGAATCCTGATGACAGCCTAGGAGTTAGAGGACTAATGTGCCTAGTTTACAGATGAGGAAACTGAGGGCCGAAGAACACCTAGGTAGAAAGAGCAGAGTCAGGTCACAAACCTGTGTCTGCCTGACTGGAGAGTCCTCACTGGTCGGGACGGTGCTCTTGGCTTCTCTAATATAAGCTCTGGGATATTCCATAGCCTAGGCTTCTGGTATCTTTCCGTGCCTTGCTTATTCGGTGGAAAGCAATTAGTATGTGATACGGGGAACTAGTAACACCAGTTGTGTACGAAGCACCTACCGTGTTTGTGCACCCGGAGCTGAGCGAGATTCAGACCCCCACTGGTCTCCCAGGATGGTTATGTGGAGTGACGGCCACTGTCTGCATTCTGCCGTTGTGGACACTGAGACCTCAGGAGCGGGCGATGGCCCAGGGTGAGGGCTCGACCCCAAGCCTGCATCCAAGGGCTGTGCTCTTCCCACGGTCAGGCTGCTGGAAGGCCATGTTCACATTGGCGCTGGCCGCTCCCACATTCCTGGGTGTCACCCGATCACTCGGGACCCCACTCTTGTCCTCCGGGACAGCACGATCCCAGGCCTCATGTGCCAGCTCTGGGTACTGGCCCCTCACGCTGGAGGAAGTGAGAGAGGCAGGGCTGCAGGGCGGGTTCAGCCTTTCTGCCGGGGCGCTGGAGGCCTTGCCGTCTGCCCGCCCGCTGCAGATCCCGAGGCCGGGTGCACTGTTTCCCCGATGAGCTGAGAGCATGGCTGTGAGGGCTTACGCAGCACTCTGCACCTGTGGGCCTGGCGCTGGGCCTGGCCAGCGGCCCCCTGCGCCCCCGTGCGCCCCAGGGCTCTCCGCCCCTCCTTCCTCGTCCTCCCCGCTCCCGCTCTCTGCCCATCTCCAGCTTCATTTCTTCTCCTGCCTCTTTCTTCACGCTCTTTCTCTCCCTTCTCCTGATACCTCTGTGACCTGGCTCTGCCTCCCTCCTGCCCACGTTCTTTCCCTCCATCCCCACTGCTCTCCCTGTCTCTCTCTGTCTGTTTCTCTGCCTGACTCTCCCAGACCTGCACAAGCGCACCCTGCGCACCCTGCTTCCCTCACCTCACCGAGCACCCCATGTACTCTGATGGGCTGTACATGCCCAGGCGCACGCACAGAGGCCGTATGTCAGAGTCTCAAGGAAGTTGGAGATCCTCAGATACACGCCCCTCATTGTACAGATGGAGAAACTGAGGCTCAGAGAGGGAGGGGACTGGGCCAGGTCACCCCAGGAAGCAGAGGCAGGATCTTGACCGGGAGCTCCTTGCACTCCATCCCGCCCTGCCTCTACTCCACCCTGATTTCCACCCAGCAAAGGCAGGGACCTACACTCTACACACAGCACAGGAGACCTCGCTCACCTCCCACGTGCCTGGGACCCACACCGGGTTCCCCGACCCGTCTCCCCCTCAGGCCTTTCCTCGCTGCCCCTGGGTGAATTCCCACCGTTCCCTCTGTGAGCCCCAGGCACTAAAGAGTTCAGTTATAATTCACTGTGAAATAAATCTAGGGATTTGAAAGTCTACAAAGCGCCCCCCTCGTCAGTCGCCCACCCGCTGCCTGCCTGCTCCAGCCCCCCACCCAGTTCCCTGGTCCGCCGGCCTTTATTGATGCCGGCCTACCCAGAGAGCCATAACGAGGTTCAGACCTCCACTGGTCTCCGGAGGCCTCATTATCCAGGAGGAAAAAATGTGCTAGAAAAAGGGAGGAGGGCGAAGGGCAGAGACTGATGATTTCCAGGAACCAGGCAGAAAAGCTGGCCTCGCCTGCGCCCTGGCCCCTTCTGTGGTGAGAGCTACAGAAGCAGAGCTGCCGGTGCGGCACTGCCAGGCCAAGGCAGGCCCTGGATCGCTCCTCTGCTTTCTGAGGGTTCACCTCTGAGCGCCAGCACAAGGTAGACGGTCAGGGCCAAGGTTCCGCGCCAGCGACTGTCACATTTGTCCCCAGCATAAGAGAGGGAGAGATGACAGCTGACATTTAATGGACGCCTGCTGTGAATCGGGCATTGGATCAGACACCTTCCAGCCTTCATTTGCACGTGCACACACACACACGCACACACACGCACGCGCACACACGCACGCGCACACACACCTATGAGGTGGGAATTAGACTCCATTTTTTCAGTAGAGGAAATGGAATCTCAGAGGTAGAAGCCACTTGCCTACGAGGAACTGAAGAGGGACCCAGGTCAGCCTGATGCTGCCGTTTACTCCTCCAGCCACCCCTGCAGCCTCTACAATAATAATAATAAAGGCAAAATGTTTACGATCGCTCACCAGCCGGGAAATAATTCACAACTGGCTCTCCACAAAAATACGCCCTCTGATTCGTAGCACTTGCCAGTTCCTGAGGCGTAAATATTCTCACCATAGCAGATTTCTGGGTTTCCAAGTGGCTGTCACTCAACACAAGTAGCAAGAGATCAGCACTGTCGCCTCTCGTAAGCCCACGCAAGCCTGCTGCGACCCACCACTGGCATTTACCGCGTGACAGGCTCTGTTTTAAGCACTTTACGTGTATTGGCACGTATGACGAGAATGAGGACCACCTAGATGAGTGGAATATCAACACTGAGATCACGTGCAGGACTGGTGACCTTCGTGAAGGCGGGCCCGTGCTCACCTTACTTACCCTGGTGCACCCCTCAAGTGCCCAGCACACAGTAGATGCTCCCTATATGTTTATGGTGGCTGAGTCAGGTGACCAGGGTTCAACACCTGCTTGCTATATGTGCCGGAGTTGCCCCCTCTGTGAACCAAGAGCTAGACTGAAATCAAGAGTCACAAACTCACACACCGATGGGAACCCGACAGGTGCGATAAGTGGGTGAAGCGGGCCAGGCATGTGATTTTGTATCTTAAATACTGAGGCAGAGTATTGGGCTGGCCAGAAACCTTGTTCGGGTTTTTCCGTAAGATGTTACGGAAAAACCCAAATGAAATTTTTGGCCAGCCCATAGCAGTAGCAGTAGCAGTAGCAGTAGCAGTAGTATTTACTATAAATACATCAGACAGACACGGAGGGACTTAAAGAAAATAAAACAACTGCCCATGTGCATACTGCCCAACTTATGAAATATTACAAATGCAGTTGAAGTTTTTCCTGTTGAGATTAAGCTCACATGCTAATCTTAAGCATTAGACTTGATCAATTTTTATGTTTGTGTCCACTCGTGAAACCCAGATCAGGGTGGGGACCTTTCCAACTCCCCCAGAGAGGCCTTCCCTTCTCCATGGCAGGCAGTACCCACACCACCAAGATATTGGTTTTGCTTATTTTTGAACTTCATGTTACTGGAATCTTAGAGTATATATCTGATGAAATTCTTTTTAGGCATATGTTTTACCTTCATAAAGAAAAACACTCTGTCCTTTCATTTCCTTTAAGTTCTCCCCCCCTTTAAAGCCCCCTCCCACGTATGCAGTTTTGAAAGCAGTAGAGATACAGAGAAACCTTCCTCTAATCTAATAAGCAAGACAGTGCAAACTCTCGATGATAGATGGAAACACCCCTCAAGCTCAATGCTGGAGAGACTGCAGGGAATGGTGGAGACTGTGGTCAACTATGGAAAACACACGCTGGCTGCCAAAGGGGGAGCCTCTAGCTGAGTGTGACAGAGTGGAAATGTGGGTTCAGTGTGGCCAGATTTTCCTTTTTTTCTTGAGTACAAGAAATCTGGAGTTTTTAAAATAAGAAGTCTCTCATGTTTTATATATTGGCAAGTGATTCTGACTTTTGTTAAGCACTCTGTGTGCCAAGCCCAACATTTCTGTGGGTTGTATCGCCCGGAAGCTGTTGGCTTACAACCTCTGGATGAGACAGACATTTCCAGGCTGGACATCCAGAATCTGGGGTCAGCTTCTCTTCCATCAGCTGCTAAGGAGCACCTCCAATCTGCCCTGCACTGCCCCTGCTCAGGGTGCCGAGAAAGCTTCCCAACAGCAAACGCCACTCACAACCTCAGAGGCTTATCGTGCCCCTAGGTAGCTGGGATCCTGGCTTGTTAAAGAGCTTCTGAAAAAGGGGATGGAAGGAGGAAAGAAAAGAAGAGAAGAGGGCTTCCCTGGTGGCACAGTGGTTAGGAATCCTCCTGCCAGTGCAGGGGACACGGGTTCGAGCCCTGGTCCGGGAGGATCCCGCATGCCGCGGAGCAGCTAAACCCGTGTGCCACAGCTGCTGAGCCTGCGCTCTAGAGCCCGCGAGCCACAAGTACTGAAGCCCGCGTGCCTAGAGCCTGTGCTCTGCAACAAGAGAAGCCACCGCAATGAGAAGCCTGCGCCCCGCAACAAAGAGTAGCCCCCGCTCACCACGACTAGAGAAAGCCCGCGTGCAGCAGTGAAGACCCAGTGCAGCCAAAAATTAAATAAACGAATAAATAAATAAATTTATTTAAAAAAAAAAAGAAGAGAAGAAGAAAGGGAAGGAGGGAGAAGGAGGAAGAGAGGGAATTAAGGAAAGGAGAGGAAAGTACCATTTATTGACTCTCTGTGACATGTAGGCGCTGTTTGTGAGGGAGTTCCATATATACCCTTCACTGTATCTTCACACTCCAAGGAGATAAGTATTGTCACCATTTTACAGATGAAGAAGCTGAGGTTCTGAGAGGTTGTCACTGCCCAATTCACATAACTCATGTGATTGAATCAGGATTAGAACCCAGGGCTAATTCTCATGCATTCTGTTCTGCAAGGAAACTGCCTTACACGTTATACATAATAAACATGTGCAGTACA